TCAAGGGGAAGGATGTATTTAATGAAAAGGAGGGGCCCTAGGACAGAGCACTGGGGCACACCAGAAGAGACAGAAGAGGGCTGTGAGCAGGAGGACTTGATAGTAATGAACTGAGTGCGACCTGATAGGTAGGACTGAAACCACTGAAGTGGGATGTTAGCAATGCCGATGGAAGATAACCTATGGAGGAGAATGGAATGAGATATTGTGTCAAAGGCCGCACTCAGATCAAGGAGGACCAGGATGGATAGTAGAACGGAATCAGCAGCAATGAGGAGATCGTTAGTTATTTTGAGGAGGGCTGTTTCTGTGCTGTGAAGTGGGCAGAAACCGGACTGGACGGGTTCATAGATGGAGTTTAGTGTCAGATGGGTGTGGAGCTGGGTAGCAACAATTTTTTTTCTAAAACTTTGGAGACAAAGGGTAGGTTGGAGATGGGGCGGAGATTAGTAAAGATGTTAGGATCCGAACCAGGTTTTTTAAGTATTGGAGTAACTGCAGCAGTTTTGAAGATAGAGGGAACAATACCGGAGGAAAGGGATGCGTGTGTGAGAGCAGAGACGAGAGGGAGCAGGGAGGGGAGGCAGGATCTAACCAAGGCCGTGGGAAGGGGGTCGAGAAGGCAGGTAGAAGGCTTTGACTTGTGGATAATATCTGATATCTCAGAATCACTGGGAAGTTGGAAAATGGAAAATAACTGTGTTGGTTCGGGCGGATCATATGGGGAGGTAGGGGGGATTCTTTGGTTGATTGCAAGGTGAATGTTTATTATTTTTTCGTTGAAGAACAGAAGAAGGGCATTACAAGTAGCAGTAGAGCACATGTGTGGGAGCAGAGTATCGGATGGCCGGTGAATTTTATTGTTAATGGAGTACAATGACTTAGTGTTGCCTCGATTGGAGTTGATTAGACAGGAGTAATACTGTTGTTTGGTCAGTATAATTAAGTCCTTATACTGAGTCATATGATTTTTATATAGTTCTTTGTGAATGGTGAGACCAGTTTTTCTGTAGAGGCGTTCAAGCTTCCTGGATTTGGTTTTCAGCGTCCGGAGTTGAGGGGAAAACCAGGGAGCAGACTGACAGAAAGTAACAGAACGGGTTTTAACTGGAGCAAGGGAGTTTAAAATGTGAGCTAACTGATCATTGTAGAGAGCAGCCAGGTCATCAGGAGAGGAGAGATTGTCCGGGAGCTGAATATTATCAATGTAGGAGGATAAAGTGTCGATATTGATGTCCTTTATATTCCTAAAAGAAATGAGCCGGGTTGGTTTGGTAAAAGAAAGCTGGGTTACAATATTGAAAGAAATAAAATAGTGATCAGTGATGTGGAGATCATCAGCTGCACAGTTAAGAGGGGTGAGACCAGAGCAGCACAGCAGATCCAGGCAGTGTCCTTTGGAGTGAGTTGGAAAGTTGATGTGCTGATTAAATCCAAGGCTGTCCAGGCAGGATGAAAAGTCTTTGGTGAGGGGAAGATCACTGTTTTCCATGTGTATGTTAATATCTCCAAGCACTATTACATTAGATGAGAGTGTAGATAAATGAGTGAGCAGTACTGAGACTTCAGACAGAAAGTCTTTGTGAGGTTTAGGGGGGGCGGTAGATTAATCCAATGATAGTGGGGGTAGGTCCATTAAGTTTAAAAACCAAATACTCAAAGGAATAAAAATCAGAGACAGACACTGGCAAAACTTTCCAATTCTCGCGATAGATTATCGCAAGACCTCCTCCGCGAGAACCGCGTGGTTTGGTGAGGTAAACAAACCCGGGAGGAGTAGCGTCGTTGAGCTGGGAGAAATCAGCTGGCTGCTGCCAAGTTTTGCAAAGGCACATGAAGTCAATTCCACGGTCCTTGATGAGATCGTGAAGGAGATGACCTTTCCCAGTGAGAGAGCGGATGTTGAGAAGGCAGAAGTTGACGGTGGTGCTGTCACATCCATGAGTGTTAGCTGTCCTGGCGAGGCTGGCTAACGAGGAGTGATCAGCTGTTCGGCGGTATGAGTTCCTGTGAGGACGACGGCGAGTGGTGGACCAGAAAGAATTGATTGAAGCGGAGTTGTGGTAGTGGAAATTCCTGCGTGAGCCGCGGTGGACATATCTCCAACGGAGAAGATGAGAAATGTCCGGGTCGAGGTGCAGTGAAGATCCAGGGCGGTGGCGAATCCTGAGGAGCTCAGCGGCAGTGTACTGGAGGAAGCCAGCAGCAGGTCGGTGGAAGACGAATGATAAAATCCAGATGAGTGCGGACCACACGTGAATAGCGTCGGTCCACATAATAGAGGTTAGATATTGATATAGATATCCACAGTCCAGTCAACAATCCGATAGTGTCAGTCCAACATATAAAATCAAATAAAATCAAAGTTTACCGGTGAGCAGCGGCAGCCAAGCGCGCTAGCGTTCACTCAATCCGGTATATCGGTTTTGCAACATCACTACGCATAAATGCTCTGATGCCACGTGTGTGACACGCGTTTACACTTACTCACTTTGTTTGTGCATTGCCGTCTTAATAACCCTCTTATGACCATAGTTATAACAGGGCCGCATGGTATTTTTTTAATCTTATGGCTGTAAAATTGTAATAAAAAGTGCAAAGTGTGTGTAACTCTTCTCCTTTTTTCAGAACAACCTCACCTTTCAGTGTATGGCTTGTATTTAGAATTTATTTCTATTAAAGCCTTTAAAAAATCAGCTTAAAAGTGGAAAAAAGCAAAAAACGGATTAGAATTTTTTACAATTATTACTGAACAGGAACTTCAAAATTACTGGGCAAACAATTTGGAATAAACTATTTAAACTGTGAACTGTAATGCATCTATTCTTTAAAAAGTTTCAACCTTGGTATCTTTTTTAGCTGTTTTTAAGACCATTTATTTTTGTAAACTTTCAGACGTTTTTATTTGATGTGGTAGACCTTGAAGCAGTTTCTCTCCAGCTGCAGGCAGAGTGCTGCACACCTCACACTGCCATGGGGTGCTTCTCTTGCACACCATGCACTGCTGTACCAAAAACTTTTGTTTTAGCAAAAATAATTATTTATTGTAAAAAGATAAATAATACTGGAATGATGCTGAATCTTACAATCAGCAAATAGTTGAGGGTTGTTCAAATAAAAAAATAAAAAATAAAGACTGAACAAACATTCATACCCTGGTTCGTTGGAGATCTGTCCTCCTTCTTGGTCACTGTCTTCAGATATAAGCCTTCTGGGACACCTAATAGATCGTGTTGATTTTCTTTGATGCATTTCCATAATTTCATGCAGGCTTTTTATGCTAATTGCTTCCCCGTCCCGTTATCCGCTTTCACCGCGGAGCTGTGCTCCGTTTCAATCAGGCTGTATAGCAGGATTTCCCCTCGTAGCGATATTTTCCATAACTCTTATTGCTTCATGCTATAGATCGCTGGAAAGCTGCTTTTATGTACTTTTAGGAACCGTTGGAATTATTTGAATCTGATCAGCAATTCAAAAGTTATAAAACAGAGCATTTTAGATGACAAACTCAGCACGTCTCTGAATCTGTGTTGTGATTCGTTGCGCTCAAGACAGGGAATCCCGGTGGCTACCGTAATGTATTATATATGCACGGAAAGCCCCGTTTTAAATTTTTTAAGCATTTTTGGAATTTTAATGATATCTTGAACGGTTCAGGAAATATGGTAATGAGAAGTGCGCATGTCCAATCCTATCTGAGGCGACAGGTTGGTAATGAGAATATTGTGGCATTAACAGAGGGGTGCCGACGGTCAGGGCTAGGAGGCCCCCCAACACAAGGGGGGCCCCATGCGGCCGCCGACCTATGCCTAATGGTAAAACCGCCACTGAACGCAGTGAGCAATTATAATCAGAAACAATATTTAAAAATGGTTTTTCAGTGAAGTTGACCTTTAAGATAATGGCTCAGTACATCTAATAAAGTTTGCAACTTCTACAAAATGAGGAAAACAAGGTATGCGGCTTAAGAAAACAAAATGAAAACAATGCTACAAAATTAAATGAGGCTAGGCACCTGAAACCAAAAATAAAATATTCACAAAAAATAAGTTTTGATTTGACTCCAAATCAGGATTGCCTCATTCAGCTTGCTGATGTGTGCTCGCTAGTCCCTTGGGAACAAAGTTGTCCATTGAAGTGGACAATTTTAACACTAACGTAGCATGATAAAATAAATTGTTAGCATTTGTGCTAAGGATAATGAACTCTCTATTGCTGCTGTTAATATTACAGTTATCAATACAAGTAGCTCACTGTTGATGAAAATGTTAGCAGCTAACTAATTAGAGGTGACTCTTGGTCTTTGTCATTTGCCACAATGGACCTCCTTTTAAGATGCTTGTGAGTCACTGTGGAAGGCAGGCTCTACCTTGCGGACTTTGCATATGCTTCTCTTGTAATTTTATAAAATGTTCCCAAACTTTGGGCTCCATCGCTGGATCACCATGGTTTTTGGGGCTTCACTGGTGATGCCTCTGCTGACCCTAATGCCACTACTCTGCATGTGCCTCAGAGGCAGAAAGGCAGACAAAGCAGCAGAAGGTACAGAGGCAGAGATTTTGGTAAATAAAACAAAGCATCTAAAAAAAATTAAATAAAAAAACCCAAAAGACAAATGTATACATTTTGTGGTCTACAATTTGGGTAACGTAGTCGTGATGATTGACTGACCTTGCACCAGATTGAAAAAAAAGCACTGTGAATTAAATGTGCCCAACCTTTAGTAGAGTCAAGCCATTTAATTTGTAAGAACATTAGTAACCCACCTCAGACTTCTGATGCGCTCCTGGTGTTTCACATGAAATTAGACTCAATTATTCTCTGTTATGATGCAAATACTCAAAAAGTGTCTGGTGCTATAGAGTTTAGCCCTAAGGTGAAGCCTTCTGGGTACAACTAACCAGTCAGAAATACCGACTGGCAGAAGGAGATTTCAGAAGGTTCCGGCTGAAACATTTTTGTTAAACAGATCAAACGATAACCACAGCTTTACTTCTTACCTGTTTTTCACACAGGCTGTAATCTGAATTCTGGTCTGGTTGGAAGAAACCAACTTCTCCATGGTTCTTGGCCATTTCTATCAACCCCATGGCTGTCCTTACTGTGGCATTGCGAGCGTGCACAAACACCATAACCTGTCCCACAAACACAAGGAAGAAAGATTTTTATTTAATCAACACAGCAACACAATGCTGCAGAATTTATATTTATATGTAATTATATTATGTGTTTATACATGTACCTTTGTTATTATTTTTTCTTCAAATTATCCTCTTAAGTGCTGGTACTGCTGTAACAAGTGAATTTCCCCACTGTGGGATCAATGAAGTCTATTCTATTCTATGTACAAGTAGTCAAAAGCAACTGTGTAAAACTCAAGACTGCTGTGCTTTCACCAAAGGAGTGCCTGTACAGCTGATCGAACAGCCTTAGTCTGAACCTACAGGCTCCATCTTTGAGGTATAAAATCATCTCTCATTGTTTTGTGTACGAATTCAAATTGATCTAACTCTATATAATAGGTTATATAAAAACTTGTTAAGATAGCTATTGGAATGATTTTAATTCTTATGAACACAGATGGAAATGCAAGGGAAAAGAGGAAGAACAAAGTAAGAGATCTGAGGGGAGAAAGTTAACAAAAAGAAATAAAACAAGAGGTACAATTATTCACTTCTAGACGTGCAGAAAAAAGAAGACACACACAATAATAAAACAGAAATGGGGATATCACAGAGCCAAACAATATAAGCATTAATGATTTTTACTGAAATACATAAATTAAATAACAACTCATGGTGCATTAAGTATCACCCAACACCCAAAGTAATCTGTCTAAAACCCCGAGTCCATACTTGTGAAAAGGGCTTGACGATATGGCCTCAAATCAATATCACGGTATAGTGAGGAGTTCACCTTGATAACGACAAATTAATGAGAACTACCTGTATGAGCAAAAGTCAAAGTTGTCCACTTGATTGGGGCTGTGACAGCATAATAGCTCAACAACCAGTTTTATTGATTGTGTTACACACCCATTTCTGTTAACAATTATTTTTCATTTCTACTATTAAAAAAAACTTCCAACTGAGTACTAAGCACATTTAGTTGTTAGGAATGATTGAAAGAAATCAAGCTAAACAGAAAAGGTAGAAAACTAAAATTATTACATTTACATGTAAACAGTATTTTACTTGCTATCTTTTTCATTCCTATTATGGATATTAAAAAGAGCTGCATCATGTGAATATTGCCACGTTTTAGTTGTCAGGTAGTCAGGTTCTCCATAAAGTGTGATTGTACTGAAGGTGGAGGATGATGTGCTACTTTGACTTGGTGCTACAGTCTTCCTGTAGTTTACATGTGTCTTTTGTTTTCATCACATCATCCTTGCTGAATCCATAATGTTGGTAAATGATTGATTAAGTTTATTTCTTGGGAACAAGTGTCTCCTCGACCAAATCTACGCCATCAGTGTTCCCGCCTGTAACCCGTTGATCATTGCTTGAGGCGTGGAGCAGATAGCTGCCGCAAGATTCGGGCAGCTACGAGCAGCCACGGCCTGTGAGTAGCGAGAGACTCAAATCTTAGAGCTGCAAGCCGCCTGCTGCTTCCATGTTTGAATTGTTGTCCATTTCCTCATTTTTCCCTTCTTGTTACAGACTGGATAGCATGGAGTCACATGACTCCATGTGACTAGTTGTGACACAGACGCTTCTTAAAGGACATTGAGATCAGCAACCTACTCACGCCTTTTCATTTTGTTAAACACCAAACACATCGGCTTGGGCAAAATGACGTCGGTAAGGGTTATACATTTTGGTAATAGTACATTTTTGGTTTGCTGCCCAAGGCCTACTTGTGAGAACACTTGGGTATATAAGATGGCTCCTCCATAGGAGTGTCCAATAGTGAGTGTGAGGGGCCTCTGTCTTGCCCCCCCAAAACCCATGGCGAGCCAAGCCCCAGCCAAATTCAGTGCCTTGTGTTGTGGTTCAAACAATTTCTTCACCCGGCTCAGGATCCAGTTTAAGGTAGTTTTACTTGTTTCTGAAAAACCTGATGGAAATATACTTGAATATATTTTAAATGTGTTGCACCATCATGCTGTCAGAGCACTGAGTTCTACATCTCAGATGCTTTCAGACATCCTGATTTCTAGATTAGGTGAAGGAGCTTCTGATTTGCTCTCCCTTTCCAGATCAGAGAAACTCAACACCCTTGAAGAAATAAAATCTCAGCATGAGACACTCATTTGCATTGGCGTGTAATCTCAGCTGACCTAAACACTGTTACTGAGGTGTATATGAATACATTTTCATCTATTTTCACTCCTTCAATAAGGTTTACTTCTTTGAATTTTAAACTCACTTGTGTGTTGATTTTCCTCTTTTATTCTTATCTGAATACACTGTATGTACAGTGTACTGGTTTAAATTAGATTTTAGACCATAAGATAAAGTCACTGTGAGGGTAGAAATAGATTTATAAGAGCTGGAAGCTTTCTTCAACCATCTTACAACACCCTTATCAGTAACACAATATAAGTTTTTTTACTACCTTCAGAATTTTTTTAAAACCATCACAACACTAAATTGCAAGTGTTAATCAGCGACCTATTTACACATATTTTAACATATATAACATACAAAAGAATAGACTTAGAGACTCACTGATGTTGACAACGTATTGCACATATTTATTTTATTTAGAAAATAAGCCAGGCACTTCTGTTCAGCGGTCCAGACAGTTGACCACGAGGCCTGAAATGATGCAGAACGACCACTGAATATGACGTCATCATTATGTGACCGGATATGCTAAAGTAGGGCTGCTCGATTATGGCAAAAACAATAATCACGATTATTGTGACTAAAATTGAGATCTCGATTATTTAAGACGATTTTTCAATTTATGTAGATTTTTATTTTTTTATTTTTATTCAGTCATAAAACTGCTCAGGGCACAATCAGGACAAAAATAAATAAGAAACAAGATGATCACTAAAATAACTCCTGATTCCCAGTATAAAAAGACCAATATACTTATAGCTCATAGTTTATGACCCAAGGGCTATAGACCTTGGTTTAACTCATGTAAGTCTAACCAGTACAGACCCAAATACCAATATCTTGCAAATACTGACAGAAAGAATTATACAGTGGCATAACAAATACATGCAAATTGCTTTTCACTAAATGTTGCATAGAATTTATTGAGTCATGTCAAGGTGCTGTAGGAGAGTGCACTAGCACCGTGTCCTCAGAGAGATTAGTTATTTATCAGCGTGAGGAACTTATTTCTACCTTATTTATAAACTATTTATTTACAAGTCCATCAGTTGATGTAATAGAGGGCCTTTTCCACCGACCAAACTGGCATGGAATGGGAAGGATCGGGTCGCTAAATTGTCCCAACCACAGCTGCACCCCCACCCCCCAACCCGGTCTCACAGCAATCAGGGGCAAGCTGCACGTGTGTTTAGCACGCCGCACGCGCACATTTAGCCGCGCACATTTAGCCGTTTTTATCGGCTCAGGAGTCCGCAGGTGCGGTGTGTGTGTCACTCACTTACTCTGGTTAATCCAACAGGGAGCCGGCTCCGAGAGCTGTCTTTAGCGACTGACACATCACTACATCATTCCCTTTCCTAATGTCCTGAAGAACGGTCCGGAGCGCAGGCGGAGTGTTTAGCTAACCTGCAGGAAACGTCGACGATAGTTATCCAGAAAGTAGCTAAGCGTTACCAGAGATGTTTCTGAGGTGTTCGCTAGGTACTTTTAAGATTTAAAAAGTTAAGAAGGGGTTCTGAGAAGCTGTTAGAAATAGCGTCAAAGTCGCTAAGTTGGCAACACTGGGAGGAGCGCTTCATTTGCAACTCAAGGCAGCGCAAGTGGGAGGAGCAAATAATCGGCTTGTTTTGTTTTTATAATCGTTCAAAACATTTCATTCGGAATATATTTCTATGTCGATGTTCAGAATACGACATCTGATAGTCGGAAAAAAATAATACCTAATTTGGAAAAAATAATACCTCTGAGACCAAATTTAACACTTTTAATGGCCTTAAATTTGACTATTTTTATTTATCACTTTTTAATACTTTTTAAAACCCCGCGGACACCCTGCAGGGGAATTCCAAGGCGGTCCTTGGCCAGGTGAGAGACCTAGTCCCTCCAACGTGTCCTGGGTCTCACTTTAGGCCTCCTCCCGGTTGGAGGTGCCCAGAAAACCTCACCAGGGAGGCGTCCAGCAGGCATCCTGACCAGATGCCTGAGCCACATCAACTGGCTCTTCTCGATGTGGATGAGCAGCGAATCTACTCCAAGCCCCTCCCGGATGACCGAGCTTCTCACCCTATCTCTGAGGGAGAGCCCAGCCTCTCTGCGGAGAAAACTCATTTCAGCCGCTTGTATTCGCGATCTCGTTCTTCTGGTCACTACCCAAAGCTCGTGACCATAGGTGAGGGTAGGAACGTAGATCGACTGGTAAATTAAGAGCTTCGCCTCAAGCTCAGCTCTCTCTCTCTCTCTCTCTCTTCACCACGACAGACCGGTACAACACCTGCATCACTGCAGATGCAGCACCAATCCACCTATCGATCTCACGCTCCAGCTTTCTCCCATTCATGAACAAGACCCAGAGATACTTAGGAAACTCCTCTGCTTGGGGCAGGACCTCATCCCTGACCTGGAGAAGGCATTCTACCCTTTTCCAAATAAAGACCAAACATTAAAAATATCTCGTATTTATTCTGTGTACAAATAAATCAAAATAATGTCTTTTTTGCTTTGTGTTAATAGAAAAGTCAAATTTTTTTTCTTTTTATCTTTTTAAAACACATTAAACAACATGACTATAAAGCCATGCAGCTGCTCAGTCTGCTCTAACACAGAACCCAAGGAGACCGGTGGGGCTAGCGTTATTTATTGGAGGTGTTTTATCAGCACCACAGAGCGGTGTGGAAAAGCTGTCTGTGGTAAGCATCAGAAGCTAAGCTTATTAAACTTAGTTCTGGCAGTATGCTCTCCACCAGGGAGGTGCAGGGTAAGGATCAGAAAGGACATTTCATCCATCCCACCGTCCCAGATGAAATGAATATATGTCAAAGCTATTTCCTGACAATTTCATTGTGAGTGAAAAGGAGGTGTTCCCAGTTGAACCATGAACTCAGACTCTGAAACACCAGAGGTGGATTAAAGCGTGCCATCAGCCCTACATTAGTTAAACGAGGAAAACCAAATCTAAGTGCTGCAGAATCGGACCGGCTTCACAAAGATTTTATATTTATTGTCCCTGAGGAAAAGAAAGAGTGTGTGCATGTGTGTGGACCTGCATTAAAGTGAACAGGATAACAACAGTCCTCAGTAGGGAGCTCAACTCTTGCAGCAGATGGGAGCTAAATGGTAAAATCAGATTCTTCTGTTCCCAGCAGGCCTGGTGAAGCTGTGGAGTAGAAGCAGGATGAACGGAGGGAAGATGAGGGAGGAGGTATGAGGAAGAGAAGGAACACACTGAGGGAGATAAGGACTTCAGAGACTTTAGATAGCAGGTGTTTATTTTGAAGGTTGAAACATATTTTTGCAGCAGAAGCTCTAAGTCATGAAAAAGTTCAGAGAAATGCTTTTGAGAAAAGGGTGGTGTAAAGGACATGGTGCATTTTGGTGATTAATCTTCACTCCATGTGTTTCCAAAAGTAGTTTAAAAACTGTAAACAGCGGCCAGATCCAGACTCTGATTTGGTCTTTCCTCATCTCCATGTGCTGATTGGTTCTTTTTTTCTGCTGTCCCATTATTTCTGTTTTCTAATAGTATTTTCATTTTTGTCAAATTTCGTTGTCGTTTCTTATTAGCAGGGCCAGATTAACACTTTGTTGTACCCTAGGCAACAATATTCAAGGGCCCCATCATCACGACCCAAGGATCACCATAATATGGTCACATACAGAATATTTTACTGTAATATGCAGTAAATATACTCAATACTTGAATGCCTGACATCACGCAACCCGCTCAGGGTAACCTTTTACCCACCTCGTGTGGACTGACCAATGAGGAGAGGGTCTTAACTTGAGGCCCTCTCTTCATTGGTCAGTCTGCATGAGACTGACTCTCAACTGACGTTCAAAGTCGTAGGCAGCGAAGCGTCTCTGTGCAGTGCAAAAGCCCGGGTGGACAGTTTGTTTAATATAGGGTGATCATATTTCCATTTCCAAAAAAGAGGACAGGGGATCTGTGCCTATGATGTCACACTATGGCAACGCCACACAAACCACGTTGGAACCCATTTTTTCGTAAGAACTAAATTAATATCAGATTCTGCCAATAAAATGGCTCTAAAACAATTCATATGTAAATATTTTGCATATTTGATGCAAAATCTCATTTTTCTGCTTTAGTGCTGCAACATTGTTTTATTAATAAGGAATTATTATACATTTTGTTTCCTGTGCAGATTATTATGGATGCTGGTTTCAGCTGTGAGATTAGACGATAGGATCAATGAAAAAATAAGTTTTCACGCACTCCATGGAAACTTTCAGAGAATCCACAAATAGTGGCTTTCAAATGGTTTTGTTACTTTTTGCAAGTTTAGAAAAGCAGCAGATGAGACAGCATGTCTGATAATTTAGCTTTTCATCTGATAATATTAGAACATGTCAGTAACATCTGAGGGGCTTTTACAAACACTGTATAACTAATACTCCTGGACAGGGTATGAATTACACAGAGGCTTCTGGAGAGCCCAGTTTGGGGGGTGGGGTGCACATTTAGCCTTGGCCCCCAAACTGCCTTGAAACGGCCCTGGGTGTGTGACTGAGTTTTGAAGGTGATCTGAATTGTATCGGATGTATAAATATTACATGTGTGTAACTTATTGTTTTATACAGGTAAAACCGTGTAGCGGAGATAAATCTGCCTACATTTTACTTTTCAACACTTTTTGTTTTCTTGTTTTTATTTAACTATTCCCTGTCCTGTCTGTCTCTCATCTTCCTGCATCTCCTCTAAACTCTCCAGAAAAACTGTTGCCTGGATTCTTACTTTTTCACCTCACCAGTTACTTCTGAGCAGATCAAAGGGATCTCCTGACCGCAAAGCAGAGAGCGCGTTTCGATGCTGTGTCAGTGAGGTGAAATCACCGCAGCACAGGTGATGAGCTCCGCAGTAGCAGAGCGCTTCAGGCACAAATAAGACAGAAAATAGAGAACATGTGCGGACATGAACGATCGTGTGTTAATTAGTTTTTTGGTTGCGCCACTTTGAGAATGGACCGTGCGCTGGACGCAGCAGCCTGGAGCGCTGCACACCATCGATCATCGCTCTGCCGCTCTCTGCTCAAAAGAGTCCATGAATGATGTAATATAGGTAGAAAACGTTTTATACGGCTCCCCTTGATGTGTAGGATATCCAGCTCCCCCATGATTCGATCCCTGCTCCTGGATGAAAAACCGGACATTTTCATCAATACAAGAACCCCCCCGGACAGAGAGTGAAAAGTGGACATGTCTGGGGAAAAGAGGACATATGGTCACCCTAGTTTAATATAAAGCGGGAGATTACAGATACAGTATTTTGCTCGTGCCCTTGCTGCCCTGGGCCTGGGCCCTTTAGAGTTCGTGGGCCCAGTTGCCTATATGGTTAATCCGGCCTTAATTGAGTCTTTGTTGGCATGTATTTTTTTGTTTTCGCTTCGTTTCAGTCCACAAAAATTCATTTGTTGTGAAAAAAGAAACAAAAACATTTTCTTGATGACATTAACACTGCCTGGAGCAAGCAGTAGGCAAGCCACTAGCTCTAGCGCTGATGGCTAATCTGTTACCTGTCACTAAAATTACAGTATTACAGTAACGACGCAGGGAGTAAATAAGTCATTAGGTTACATGTAAGCTACATACATGGACCATAAAACCGTTAAAGAACAAATTGCAAGTTAGAGACTCCCATGAATCAATGTTTAGAGAAACATAAGAGAAACTCATTTAACATTTTTTTACACATACATAAATTATTTAGTCTTCTAGAGTCATTTTTATGAAAAAGTGACATCAGCTGAGGGAGTCCTGTTAGCTTAATCCATAGAAAAATATGGATTCTAATACAGCTCTGACACAGGAAACTTCAAATGATTATATTTCTACTTATGATGGACCAAAACCATAAAGTTATGAGTTTGCTGCACACCCCAGAGAGCAGAGACAAACCAGAGGGAGAAACTGCGATGTGAGGAGAAGCAGCGGGAGAACAGCAGGTGTCTTGTGAGTTAATGATGCTAGCTTAAATGCATATGCTGACATCACAATATTATACAGAATACTATCATGTACCAGACAATTAAAATAGTATCGGTCAGTTAATATAATATTAACACTTGACAACAATAAACCAATGAGCGTCTCATACTCGTTAATATTCGTTCATGTAACGTAGTTTAGCGTTTAGAAAGAGGGAGAGAGACGACTGCCATCCGATTCTGGAACTCATGCGGGCCTCATTGAGTTGGATCCGACCCAGAAACCACCTCGACTGGCCTGCTGGTATTTTTAAAAGCCGTGCATCCTCTCCTGGTGGTCCAGGCATTGGTTCTGATCTGGTTCCAACCCAGAAACCAGCTCCACTGGTCCGCGTGTCTCTTCTAGTGGTCGGTTCTGACCTGGTTCTGACGGTGATTGGAGCTCCAGAAATCCACATTTAATTTTTTAAACCCCTCTATGGGTCTCCGGAGCCCAGCGCAGACCTCCCTGTCCCGGTACCGACCGATGCAGGCTACGGAACTCCCATCTTTTCAGCTACACAAAATGTCCTCAGGTAGAGAGATAGAGGGGTTGTTATTTCTCTTATCTGGAAACTCGTGGACTCGATGTCCAGAGAGGCTGGAGTTGGTACAGCCTTCATAAACTATAGTTTATCAACATGAACACAATCCAAAACTAATAAACACACACTGACAGGATAACATGACCTCTCTACACTAAAACGACCCACTCTCCACACTGAGCTGAGGCAGCGCCCAGCTTCTAACTCCCTTTAGTTACCTCAGAGGTTCAGATTTTAAAAAGAGCCTTTTTAGAAGCTTTGCTGAGAAAGGCCACTTTTTACTTGAAAATTTCTGCTGTTATGTATTTTAAAATGAAATATCCACAATAAGCATTTCAAATAGTATTTTCGGACAGAGTTTTATATGAACTAGAAAAACGTTTACCTGCTATTTGCTCTTTAAGTTCCAAGCTTTTACTAAAATCCAAATGACTCGGGGTCAGAATCCATGATGAGCGAGCACCAATTAAAATACCTTCAGATCTTTTGTCTACCTTCCAGAGATCTTTCAAATTCCACATTTTTTAGGTGGATGTGAAAGCCTTACTCTTATTGTATAAACACCTAAAACTGCAGAAAACAACCGAATGAAATCTGAAATGTAAAGCTACCATTAGCACTGTCAACTGTTTTTATTTTTAGAGAAGGTTTTCCTTTGAGCTGCACAATCACATCTCTAAATACAGCTTGTTTATTTTTTAATCCAAAACTGTCAGCTTGATGTCTTTAAATAAACAGGAACTAGTCAAGGAAATGATACAGAACTGTTTTTAAACACAATAATACAAACTTTACAGGCAAAGCAATTCCCAAACACACATGCACACATTAAACTTATTTTTGAATCTATAAACACGTACCTGATGACCTGCTTTAACCTGCTCCAGGACCTTGTTATAACAAACCTCCTCCATGTCATGGATCTGTTGAATCTGACCAGATCAGAGGAAGACATTAAGGACACGTTCTGTTTGCAGCCCAGTTTTCCTATTGTACATGCAAATTAATGTATACAACTAACAGTGTAGGTAAATGTTTTGGTTGGTAATAAACTGAAATGATTATTGCTCTTTTACCTTGTTGGTGGTTTTGATGCCAACGAAGGTCTGCCCAAGTGGCACTGGTCTGAAGCGACTGTCAAAGAAGAACAGGCCTATATAGGGGTTGACATGCAGGAAGGTGGCCACATCCAGATAGTTGGGTAAGGTGGCTGACAGTCCCAGGATTCGAATCATACTCTGGGTGGATTCCACCTGTCCACCAAAAACACAAAGCCAACATTAAAGTACATCAAGGCAGGCACAAAGAAACTGAACATTGATGAGCAAAGTAACACAAAATTGACTATGCGGGTATTAAAGATGGAATTTTATGGAAAAATATTTATTATTTATCTGCAACATTTACCTGACTATCACGACAGGTTTGGAGCAAAAAGATCAACTTTAATGGCCATATTGAAAAAATGGGAAATATAGCCAAGGCAATAGATTAAAAAAGTACTTCATGTGAATGTTAAGTGTCTTGTCTAAGGACACAACGACATTGACAGACTGAGCAGGGCTCGAACCTGCAACTTTCCGATTACGGGGCAAGCTGTTAACCCCTGTGCCATCGTCGCCCCGGCTTACTTCCACCTTCAAAATATGAATCGTCTTTGCCCCGCTCTCACTCCCCTTTCAGTTTCTATTCTCATCCACATTTTATCACAATTTGCTTGTATATATTGTTTTTAAATCTTCATCTTTATTAACTATTAGAATTCAGTGTTGCATTGTTTGGAAAAAGAACCAAAAAATGTTCATAAATAGTCATTTAAATAAATAGAAGAAAAAAAATGTCTTGATATATATCGTTACTAGGGATGTCCCGTTTCATTATCGATATCGGAAGCAATTTGATATCGGCCCAAAAACTGTATTGTATTATATCGGACGGCATCAAAAATCTCCGATATAAGCAGTCCAATAAGGATCACATTTTTGCAACTAACGGTTAAAGGGGCATTATGGAAGTTTGACAGCCAAAACATGTATAGAAATAATAAATTTCTTCTTCATACATTCTCCTGCAATGCCCTGGTCCTGTAGAATGAGCCCTGGCATTTTTACTGTGATTGCCTGTTTTTCTGTAAAATCACAGAAAAAGAGAGCTGCTCGGGTCGAGCAGGCTGCTTCGTGCGCGTTCACGCTCAGGCATAGCCCGTAGCATTTGCTATCCGTAGCTTTAGCAGCAGAGAGTGAAGTAGTGCCAACTCAGCGACTTTGTCGCTGTTCCTAACCCCTAGTGATGAACCTAGCTACATTTCTGAGGACCTTTAGCTACTTTCTTCTAGATATTTCCTGCAAATTAGCAACAAAAAAGCCATTTTCGCTCCGAACCGTTCTTTGAATGTTGTTTCAGCTGTCATCTAGGATATAAATATTACAGATACAAGAGACGTCACTGGTGCTATAGCTCACCCAGTAAGATGACAGACTCCCGTGCGGAAGACTCGGGTTCGATTCTGGATGTGAACATAATTTATTTAGTTTCTTTTTTACATTAATGGTATGTTTTTTTACAGTAAGACGCCCACATTTTTATTTGAGACTTGCCGAACGGCATTGAATTCACAGATAAAAAAGATGTGGGTTCAACTTTCATTTTGGAACAATTTTTCAAGCAAGGCAAGGGAATGATCTGAGCAGCCATCATAAACCTTTGTCGGCTGTGCTGAAGAGAAATGTACAGAACCAAATGATTTAATTAATTAGCTGCGCGTTCTCCTGTCCTCCCCCCCCCCCACACACACACACACACATGGGACTGTCTCAGCTGTTATTTTCGTTAAGGAATGTGCACGTACAGCATGCGCGCCTCGTGCACGAGCCTACTTTTGAAGCTGCCGTTACGCTTTTGGCCTGAGGGGGCAATTGCAAGCATAAAAATTCAAAACTCCGTAAAGTCCCTTTAAAGAGCAAGTCACCCCTTACAAGAAGCATATCACTCCCAATTCATGTTTGAAAAATGCAACAAATGCTGTTGCCTAGCAGACCGAGAGGGTGGAGCCACTAACAAATACACACACTCACGACATTGTGACATCATAATGTACCAGTTTACATCACAGCATACCTCTTAGCCAATATCGATGGCAGATTTAAATTCAAATGCAGTGAAGAGTTTTTACCTGACAACGGCACAACTCTGACAGTTTCAGGCAGAAAATTAAAATTTTAACTAACATGCACTAAAGTGCAAAACTATTGACTACACGTGTCTGTAGCACGATTAGACACACATTTATATAGTTTATCAGAAAAAAATTATTGATTTGGGGGTGACTTGCTCTTTAAGAAAAAAATTGTCTTATTTTTCATAGTTACTGTTATTGGCTTTTGTTCTCCGACTGAGTAATATCAGTTGATCAAGACTTTCAAAACATTCCACACTACTAAATAGGTAAAAGTATATATGATTTATGCTGATATATTGGATTGATATCGGTATCAGTCTATACTGAAGGCTGCAATATCGGTATCGTATGGGAAGTGAAAAAGTTGTATCGGGACATCTCTTATCGTTAACCACACATAATTCAAAATATATCGCCCATTCCACAGATGCACACACTCATGCGCTAACGCACATGCACACTTATCCCTAGGTAGTCACAAAGCCATAAGGGTAAACGGTCTTGTCAGCATGAAGCTCACTGAACATTCATCTCCTGGTGGAGTGGGTGGGGAAAACAGTTCTTTCTATAACAAGCCTTATTACGCATCTTATTTGGCCATTTATTAGGGTTTCGGGGACATTTTAAGCTCCAATAAATTTTTATGTGATTTATATAGGCTTAAAGATCAGTTTCCAATTGTAATCTAAACTCAACTTATCCTATAAAGCCGTAGTGCCTCTCAGTCTGTTAAGGATGCAGCATTTCCAGGGTTAGGTCCACTCTCACCATCATTATCCCTCACGTCATCTTCACCAGAAGTTGACCATCACCAGGGCCTGCATAGCACCCTTTCTCCTGTGGAGAGACCCACGGTTGTTTCACCAGGGTTCTCCAATTGGGAGGGTGTCCGAGCGCATGGTAGTGACCACAGATATTTTCCTCAGAGGCTGGGAAACTGTGCGGTGAGGGGGGGGTATGGCACGCGATCTAATTGGGGTTCCACATCAACTACCTGGAACTGTCAACTGTGTTTCTGGCCCGGAAACATTTCAGTCACAGTCCTGAGAGGACAGCATGTGCTAGTGTGCACAGACAACACAACTGTGGTGTTATATTTATAAACAAATAGGGAGGAACATGCCCTCTTTCTCTACTGAATCTGACTCATACATTGTTACATTGGTGCAATCTGAATCTTCTGTTTCGCAAAGCAGTTTATATCCCCAGTTGCCTGAACCACAGGGCAGACTTGCTCTCGAGGAGTGGATCCCTGTCAATGGAATGGAGACTTTAGCCCGAGGTGGTGTCCTAGATCTGGCTGAGGTTTGGCAGGGCAATGGTCGATCTGCTTGCATCGAGCAGGAACACACACTGTCCCCTGTTCTTCTCCTTAATGGATCAGACTGCTCCAATAGGGACAGATGCTCTGTCTTACCCTTTGACAAACATTCTCCTCTACTCCTTTCCTCCAGTTGAGCTGATTCCGGCGGTGCTTGAGAGGGTGCGCAGGATAGGCCTCTCCCTGGTTTTGGCTCCTGAGTGGCCCACAAAATCTTGGTATCCAGAGGTCATCAATCTGATGGTAGCCCGCCATGGCAGCTCCCCATTACGCAGGACCTTCTGTCTCAGGCTCAGAGAGGTGCTGCACTCTCGTCCACATATGTGGAAATTGCAGGCTTGCCTACTGAAAGGTCCAACCTATTAGCTAAAGGTCTTCCCAAGGCTGTGGTGAATCCTATTCAGAGCTCGAGAGCAGGTTTCACCAGAGGTCTATATGCCTATAAGTGGAAAGCTGTTGAGGAGTGGTGTCAAAGCAAGTCTGTGGTTCCTTCAAAGAGCTCCATTGTGGACATTCTGTCCTTTCTACAGAAACTGCTGGTCAGGGTCTTGCTCTTCTCCACTTTGAAGGTCTCCCTGGATGCCATTTCTGCTTGCCATGAGTCTTTTAATGGGCTTTCTCCTGGTGTTCACCCGTTAACCTTATGGTTCCTGAAGGAAGTTTGCAGACTGAGGCCTGTTGTTAGATCTTCTGTCCCTTCTTGGTACCTTACTTTGGCGCTGCCAATTTACTTGGTTGACATGAAATATCTTTCTTATAAGATGGCCCTGCTCTTAGCCCTGGCATCGGCTAAGAGGATGGGGATCTTCATGCGCTTTCAGTTCACCCTTCCCTGCCTGCAATTTTCAGCAAATGGGTCTCGGGTCACCCTGTGCCCGAATGCTGCATATATTCCCAAGGTCATCTAGCTGAACTACAGTTCTATGACCATAGAGCTTTCGGCCTTCAGTCGTCCTCCTTTTGTCTCTGAAGAGCAGAAGTGGTTGCATTGTCGGAGCCCGGTGCGTGCTCTACAGCCTTATGAGGATCGCACTCAAATTTTCTGATTAGCAGACCAACTGTTTGTGTTTCACCAAACCCTCCAAGGGTAAAGTTATGTCAAGGCAAAGACTTTCTCATTGACTGTGGAGGCTATTTCCCTGTGTTACTGGCTCCCAGCTGCCCCAGTGGGCCAAGGCACATTCTACTAGAGGCGTAGCTGCTTTATGGGTGCTATTTAAAGGCGTTTCAGTTGGTGACATTGTCTCAACTGCTAGCTGGGCTACATCCCACACATTCATGAGATTTTACTGTTTGAATGTTATGGCCCCTTTGGTGGTTAATGCAGTCTCTGTTGGGCCTGAGTTGCCATCTTTGGTTGCATTCTTAACCCAGGTTTGATAGCTGCTCATAGGGTGTTTCGATATGTCCCGTAGTACATTTGTTGTACCGAGTGAATTGACTGAAAGAGACCGTTAGGTTATGCATATAACCACTGATCCCTGAAGGAGAGGATTGAGGTACAACTCTGGGCTGCCTACTTTGCAGCCTGGCTTGGCGAAGAGTGGCTATCCAACTGAGGAATGACAGTGACGCTGGGTGTTTATAGGTGGGGAGCGGGGCCACTACACAGCGCCACTTATTTGCCTTTACAGGCGTGATGTCCCATAATACCTTCATTGTACCTCGTTCCTCTCCTCAGGGAACAGTGGGTAAATGTATAACCTAATGTTTTATTGTGTATTAGTTTAATTTATTTTTGTTTTTATATTCAA